CCCCCCCCCCCCCCCCTCTCCTCCCCTCCTCCGAATCATCCATGTGGCCTGTATGCCGTCATATATCATGACCACGAGAGTCGTGTGGGTATTGACCGTTTCATCAGTGCCCCCGCAACCTCCCTACCTTATCCTGTGAATGCGAACACAGGAATCGCACCGAGAGCGCCAATGCTGAGCGCATCCGCCTCCAACAAACACTCCCTTCTGTCATTTGGCCGGAATGGGGAGACTGGCTCATCTGCTGAGCAGCTGGCCGCGCCCCACGATTTCCTCCCTTCTGTTAGCTTCGATGATCTCCAGACTAGCATAGAGTCTGCTTCCACCGAGTTCACTCTCACCCAGTTCCCCTCGCCCAAAGGCGCAGGGAGCATTCTCGACAAGGGGGACTCATCCGACGACAACAACATTATGCACCATAGCAGGCCTAGCGCGTCCTCGACCGGCAGCGGCATCTCGCGGCCTCCCGTCTCCACGGCCGCCGCCGCCGCCGCCGCCGCATCGTCATCTTCTGGCCCTTCGTCGGCACGACCGAGCCGCTCCAGCTCCATCGCGAGAAGGTCGACGGCGTCGGGAAGGCAGGCCAGCATATCCTCCGTCACCTCGTCCTCATCTGGGGCTATTGACCCCCCGGCCGGCCCGGCCGCCATGCGCGGTCGCAGACAGAGCCACTACCCTCCCGTCTCCAACGGGAACGCTGCCATCGCAAAGCCTTCGCGTAGGTCGGTCGGTTCCGGCGTCATTGGTGATAGCTCCGAAGCCACGGGGCCCAAGCCTACTCGCCGCCCGAGTTTGGGAGGTGGCAGGCCGGCCATCCCGGGACGCAAGTCTTTGGATATGCTCTCCGCTCCCGGCCAAGAACCCCCTCGAACCTGGGCCACGTCAAGGGCTGCTAAGGCCAAGTCGGTGCAGCCGCCGCCGCGCCAGAGCCAGACATATCTCGGCGTCAGCGACGCGCTTGCCCCTGACCCCAACCGGCTATCTACCCTGGCCCAGCGATCTCCCCGACATGGGAACGGGGGACTCTCTACGCCCTCATCTGGTGCCAAGAGGGCATCCATGATGCCGGGGTCGCATGGGTCTCACGCACATGGACTTGGTGCCCGAACCATCAGTCCCACAGACACTCGAAGGGCGAAGCGAATGTCCACCATGCCTTCCTCGCAGAGCCTGAATCAGGCCGCTGACGTGCCGCCGCCACCGCCTGTCTCTGCCGATACGCGAGCCGAATCCAGGTCGCCGTCCATGATCCCAAAGGCGGCATCGGGCACCCCTACTTCGACGAGCACGAGCACCACACCTGACATAAATCGCAAGTCCTTCACCTCAGGTCTCCCGGGTGCCCCCGCCACCACGAACGGCATACCTGTGCGGACGTCTATTGGTCCCACGCATCCGCAGGCACAGTCTCTGTCTCGCATATCTCAGTCATTCTCCATCTCTCGCCTTCCCGCCCCTAAACAAAGCACTGTACACAACCTGTCTGCCGACGATGATGAGGAGGTACCTCCTGTCCCGGCCATTCCCAAGGCGTACGATTCTCCCAAGGGATCACCCGCCGAGAGCTTCGTCCTGGAGAGGAAAAGGTCGGCTCTGAGCCTCATGGATGCGACAAGTATACACAGCAACTCGACCGGCAGCATCGCGATGCCCGTGCACCCGGAGCCCACGAAGCTCCAGCGGAAACGGAGCGAGCGCAAGAGGTCTCTGGCACCCGGTACAGCCAGCACCAAGCCTAAGAGGTCAAGCCCGCCCCCCGACAGGAGGAATCTGCAGCCTCTGAGCCTCCCTCCGATCAACCTGGGCCCCCTCAACATCCCAAACCTGGACAAGGCTAAGAAGGAGGGCTCCGCCAGCCGAGACCTGAGCCCCCCACCGTCCCGCCAAATAGCCAAGACGCCGACGACTCCCATGACGGCATCGAGGAGCACATTCTTCCCCAAGAACCACTTCGAGGACCTCCCGCCTCTGCGAAGCAGCAGCTCCGTGCACGTGGTACACGGGCTGACGCCGACACCCCCGGACGGCGACTCGTCGGAATCCTCTCTGATCCTCATGGACCCCGAGGCGGACAAGAAGTCGGGCATCTCGCCTTTCCTATCGTCGTCGGCCCCCAAGTCAGACGGGTTCGGATCCAACTACCCCCAGCGACCCAAGACTGGCGGAGACTTTCCCAATATGACGGGCGTCGTGGCGGACGAGGCCACCCGTCATCAGAAGCCCGCCGGCCCTCGCCCTCCCAGGAGCGAGAAGCAGCCGCCCAAGTCGCCTACTCCTCCTCAGAGCGCTGAGGACCCTGCCACTCCGTCGTCGATGAGCTCCATCAGGAGGAAGCTCAGCATCACGTGGAAGAGGGACAAGCCCAAGGGGAGCGGTGACCGTGCATCGGAGATTGCAGGCTCAGCTCAGCAACCTCAGGCGCAGAACCAGGCGCCGCCGCTGCCGCCGTCCCATCAGCAGCAGCAGCAGCAGCAGCAGCAGCAGCAGCGACAGTCACACCCGCTGCCTCCCCAGCCATCGGCCAAGCAGGAGAGCATGCCTCCGCCGCGCATCCCCATCTCCTCAACCGTCAGCAATCTGTCGAGCACGTCTCACCAGAGTCCCAGCCCGTCTACCAAGACCAACGGCAGCAGCTACCTCGAGACGAAGCGACGGAAGAGCTCTACCAACAGCCTCAACCAGTTCGGCACGGGCAACCACGATAGGCCCAGAGGCGACGCGTGGGGTGGCAAGAAGGAGGTCACGACGACCGATGTGCCGGCAATGCCGTCGTCGCGCAACCACCAATCGGTCATGAACAAGTTCCTCAAGTCGAAGCCGTCATCGCACGGTATGAAGGGCGGGTACGATCCCTGGACCGCCGAACTCGACAAGGACGACATGGCGGCCGAGGATGAGATGAGGAAGCTGGGCTCGCGACGCAAGGAGACGGAGATTGCGGCGCGCACGCTGGACGCGCTCCGGAAGAGGGCCACCCCCAAGGAGAGGGTGGGCCCGCACGAGGCGATCCGCATCGCCATGCTCAACATCTACGAGCGCGGTGAGATCATCGACTACAACGACATCTTCTTCTGCGGGACGCAGGGCGCGCCCAAGGTGGTGGGCGACCTGCACTCGGACAAGCCCAACTTTGGGTACGACGACGACCGCGGCGACTACACGATCATCCCCGGCGACCACCTCGCCTACCGGTACGAGATCGTCGACGTGCTGGGAAAGGGCAGCTTCGGCCAGGTGGTGCGGTGTATCGACCACAAGCTGGGTGTCTTGGTGGCCATCAAGATCATCCGGAACAAGAAGCGGTTCCACCAGCAGGCTCTTGTCGAGGTGAATATCCTCAAGAAGCTTCGCGACTGGGTATGTCTTTCAGGTCTCGCCAATCGACCACTCTTTGCATGTTGCTGACAGACTCTCCTTTCCCTGTGCGTGCAGGACCCCCATAACAAATACAGCATGGTCAACTTCACCCAGAGCTTCTACTTCCGAGGTCACCTGTGCATCTCGACGGAGCTGCTGGACATGAACCTGTACGAGTTCATCAAGACGCACGCGTTCCGGGGCTTCTCGCTGCGCATCATCCGCCGCTTCACCAAGCAGATTCTCAGCTCGCTCAACGTGCTGCAGCAGAAGAAGGTGATACACTGCGACCTGAAGCCCGAAAACATCCTTCTGCGGCACCCGCTGCACTCGGAGATCAAGGTGATCGATTTCGGCTCGAGCTGCTTCGAGAACGAGAAGGTGTACACGTACATCCAATCGCGCTTCTACCGGTCCCCCGAAGTGATCCTGGGTATGACGTACGGCATGCCCATCGACATGTGGAGCGTGGGCTGCATCCTGGCAGAGCTGTATACGGGCGTCCCCATCTTCCCCGGCGAGAACGAGCAGGAGCAGCTGGCGTGCATCATGGAGGTATTCGGCCCTCCGGAGAAGCACCTGATCGAGAAGAGCACGCGCAAGAAGCTCTTCTTCGACTCGATGGGCAAGCCGCGCCTGACGGTGTCGTCCAAGGGCCGGCGGCGGCGGCCGTCATCCAAGACGCTGCAGCAGGTTCTCAAGTGCGACGACGAGGCCTTCCTCGACTTCCTGGCGCGCTGCCTCCGATGGGACCCGGAACGGCGGATGAGGCCGGACGAGGCGGTCCGGCACGAATTCATCACGGGGCGCAAGACGCCCCCCCGGATGCCGGTGCGCGACGCATCGTCGCCGGTCAGACGGCACAATACGACGTCGGCATCGGCGTCGTCGTCGTCGGTCGCGATCCCCCGCCCTCTCCCCGAGCCGCCCACGACGACGGCGGGCCACGGCGGCAGCAGCCACAAGACGATGGCGGCCACGATGGCACCCACTGCACGCACGGGTCCTAGCCCGCACAAGGCGGCGGCCCACAGGCGCGCATCGGGCGTCACGGCTCCGACGGCCGCCAGCAGCGCCAAACGCACCAGCGGGGGCAACGGCAGCGGGAGCGGCAGCGGCAACCACGGCAACACACTCACAGGTAGCCTGACGAGCATACCGAGCACGAGCACCAGCAGCCTACCACGAGCGTCGGGGCGTACCGCTAGCGGGAGATACGATGCAGCCGCGGTAGGGGCTTCGGCCGCCATGACTGCGAGGAGGGGATGAGTTCAGACGGGTAGGGGAGGGGGGGGTGTTTGATGTCTCTTGTGTGTGTGTGTGTGTGTGTGTGTGTTGAGAGAGTAATTGTAGGAGGAGAGGGGAACGGTCTTCCTGTCATGTCATGACTTTATATATACTCTCTCTTCTTCTCTACATCTTGTCCTTTTTCTTCTTCTTTTTCCTCTCTCTTTTTCTCTACTCTGTTTTTGCTACCACCTTTCTTGCATTGTTTTTCCTATACCATGACGCATCATAGCAATAACGAAAAGCAAAAAAATCATACAGTTGTATATATGTCACTATCTACTCTTTCCTTCTCTGCCCTGTGCTGTTGACTCTTTCTTTCTCTTTGACTCCGTCGACTCTGTCCTTTACTCTCCACCTCGTCTTGCTCCTTACCTTTTCTCTTCACTTTTTTCCAACCTCGACTTCGCTCTACCGTGTATTTTCAGTAGCAGTGCTAGTAAGCAGAGGAAGAGAAAGTGAGAGAGAGAGAGAGAGAGAGAGAGAGAGAGAGACGTGGTATCCATGGCATCCACCGAGTACTACCTACCCGCCAAGACGTGATGACCCGGTCCCCAAGTCCTTTTGATACGATGCCGACTAGCACAGGTAGATCCGAGTGGGTGTTGAAACATTGGTAACGGTAGACCAGAGTGAGCATCCCAGTCCTGATGCAGAAGACATGGGTATTACCGGCTAGCAAGTACGAGCAATACCACTCTGTCGTTGTCCGAGGTCGTGTCCGGCAATATCCAGTCTCGATGCAACGTCCTGACCCGACGAGAGCATGGCTGGAGAGGATGGTAGGAGGGCAGAAGCAGAGCCGAGTTGGTATCTGATATCGGGGTGCCGTGGTGATCTATTTTTAGGCCTGCACGAAACGTCCATGTACACCGGAAACCTTGGCATGATCGCTGTCTGGCACCGAGCACTGGGATGTTTCGGATCCCCGGGGTTGCGAGAATGGGTCCGGACTGGGATATATATACATTGTTTACTTTACAGGTACCGGGGGGGGGGGGGGGGGGGGGGCAGTAATATATTATTGCTTCTCTTGACTCTGGAGAGTATTTATAGAATGCATGTTCAGATCCCTCCCCAGTCGGTCAACGATGATGGGGAATTTGATTATCAATATGATGTATTGAAGAAACAAGTCAAGAAAAGAATTATCTGAGATATTTACTTGAAACATGTAAAGGAAGAAGAATAAGAGCAACGACAGCGACAGCAACAACAACAACAACAACAACAGTAAAAGGAAATGATATGAATTGATGACTGAAAGAGAGGGGAAAATAAAGAAGGAAAGAAAAGATGACAAACCCATGGTCCCGGATTCCCGCAATGCAGGGCAGTAAAACGGTAGAATACGGTGCTAGTACCGGGGCGCAATTCGGCGACGCCGGGACGGAGAGAAGGTCTCGCTTGTATGCGTACACGTACGAGTACGTGGAGACATCTCTAGGCATCGGGTCTTATATTCTGTGTACAGTGACGGTATATAGGAGATATGAAGGAAGGGAATATATCGGAGCATGCGAGAAGAAATAATAACATTTTGACGTCGGGACTCGTATGACACGAAGACAACATCTTGTACCTACTCCGAGTAAGCCGGAGATGCGGCCCAGCGTCCGTGCTTCTGCTTCATCGTGGCGCAGCAGGTGGCTTCGGATAGGGACGACAGGGCGCAGGATCAGGTGCAGCGCTGCCGGGCACTAGCCACGAAACAGTTTACGTGCATGGTCGGCATTGGCATGTTGACCGAGTAGTACGATTGTTTTGGTCTTATGAAAGCAATGGAGAACCCGTCATCACCGTGATTAACCAAGGACATATATGTGACATACATTGGACAATGTGCAGGGTGTAAGGTGGTTGAGGACAGTAAGACTTGCCGACGCCACATTGTGGCGACTTGATAAAGCAGACACGATAACATCATACATCTTTTTTTTTTTTTTTTTTTTTTCTTCCCCTTTCCCCTTTGGGATTTCTTTCCGTGAGAGACTCACAGTGCATGCACACACACACACACACAGAGAGAGAGAGAGAGAGAGAGAGAGACCCACTGTGGGGAGGGCAAAAGTGCAAGGCTGAATGAAACGGTCAATGTTCAAGCAAGGACATGTCTAGCAAGGACATGACTATGGGAAACATGGGTACAAGGACCGAGAACAAGAGTCTCATTTTTTTTTCTTTTCCTCTCTTCTCTCTTTCTGTACAGGTCATGCATGCGGGGAAGGGGTTTTATATATATATATTCCTGAAAGCGTAATGATGAGAAGATGATGGGGAAAGAAGAAGAAGAAGAAGAAAAGAAAAATCCGAGTGAGCTGTTTGTTCATGTCTCATGTGCAACAGCGGCTTCACTCTGAGAATTGTCGTCGTGCCATTATCGATTAATACATCATGTACATCTACACACACACACACACACACACACACATATATATATATATATATATATATATGTGTGTGTGTGTGTGTATATATATATATGCACTGAGTAGAGAGAGAGATGATGAGAGGATATGCGAGCATGCGGTCTCTCGTACTTACAGCCCTACGTTTCCAGGGTCTTTGATAGGTTTGACCGTGACCTCTACCCAGCACGGCAACCGGGGGGAACTCGTCCGTCTCGACGACCTGCGACAGAGCAGACGGCTGAAGGCGTCAAGGCAAGGTCCGGGTCATAAGGCGAGATGACAGGACAAGAAGAGGGGGAGAGGGG